GGGAGATAAAACAGTCAGGTGGCTTAGCAAAAGCAGCATATAATCACATACATTACACATTGTTAGGCACACATTTAACCATTTGTTTGCCACTAGATGTTAACACCTTCCCAGGCAGAGTCATTATGTACAGTGACAGTATCAGTACTGGGCACTGTATTAGTGTCACTGGTGATGTGTCAGCGTCAGATTGTCTTCCGCGCTATCACAGTTCCACTATGTCACTGATCACTGCCATTACTAGTATTAAAAAAATAAATCAATAAAAATTCCAGTATATATACTATTTGTAGACACTATATCTTTTACACAAACCAATCAATATACACTTATTGGGATTTTTTTTTTTACCAAAGATATGTAGCAGAATCCATTTTCTTTTCATTCTTTACTGGGTATGTTTTATAACAAAGTAGAAAATACTGGGGGTTTTTTTCTAAAATGTTTTTTTTTGTTTATATAATAAAATATGGAAAAAACTGTGGTTATCAAATGACATCAAAAAAAAAAAAATCTCTATTTGTGTGTGGGGGAAACTTAATTTGCGTACAGCGTTGTATAATTGCACAATTGTCAGTTAAAATTGCACAGTGCCGAATAGCAGCAAATGGCCTGGTCATGAAGGTGGTGAACCCTTTTGGAGCTTAAGTGGTTAAAGTGATTAAAAATAAAAAAAAATCCAATGTTAAACTTGTCATACTTACCTGCTCCGTGTATTGAACAGAGCGGACCCGATTCTCCTCTTCTGGGGTCCCTCACTGGCTTTTGCCTTCAGAGTGCCCCCATACCAGCTGCAAAGTATAGTATGGAGTGCTCCTATAGCTAGTAACAAAAAAAAAAAAACTTCTGCCTTTGGAATAACTCATTTCCTTCTCCTGCCCAGGACTACATGTCCCATGAGGCGTTTCTCCTCACATATTCACAAGTTCTCAGGCAATTACTGACATGTATGGACGGTGTACTAAGCTGTATGTGTGCTGCACTGTATTTTCTGATATGTAAACAAATAATGCATTCTGGATGCAGGCCAACAAATTGGCTGCCCAAGTAATTTTCATAATCGATTCTGTTGATTAGCTGTTTCAGCCCTATCTCCAAGACCGCATCCAGCTATCACTAGCATCGCTCATCTTAACCATAAATTCCCGAAGAGGTGGTATGGGTATTATATGCACAGTAAAAAAAAGAAAAAAATATGAGTGTCAAATTCCATACTTTTTAAAAATAAAAGCCCAAGCAGTTAGAGGACAGTTAGCACACCTCTTACTCTGTCCTGAGCAATAACAGTGCACACAGTGGGTCTTGTGACTCCCAGCCACAGTATAGCAGCCAGAAGCCACAAGTGTTCATCCCAGATGTGCAGTTTAAAGTTCCTGCACCAACAGTGATGTGAACTCTCAACTACAGTTGTCCATAAGTGTGTACTGCCATAACCTTTCTACACCTCCCCTGTACATAGTGACTGCTGTCCTATTTGCCACGCCACTGTCCTGCACATACTGTCTCCATATCATTCTGTCACATTTCTTTCCTGCATGCTGTCTTGTCCTACCCAATGCATTGCTCTTCTTTCCATACTGCCTGCCTTTAACACTTGTTGCATTTCCCTCCTGCACATATTGCCCATTGTCATATCATTCCCCCATTACTGCACATACTACACCACCCTACCTGCTGCAATCCTCTCCAGTGCTCACTGCCATACCCTTGACACTCCTCTCTTGCATGTTGGCTGCTGTTATACGCTCTGCACCCCTGTCCTCTACATACATCATAACTCCCAGTGCTTAACCATTTGAGTCACTGTATCGAAAAGACCCCACATTGGTTACTTATAGTGAATACAAGGTCCTGGGTTAAGTAACACTTTATCTGGTCTCCCACAGTACACAGAACTGAAATTGTTTTTAGTAAATATAAACTGCTAAATACCTTTTCTCATCAGCCTTATGACTCCTATTAGTGTCCAGCAGAGCACTGGTTACAGCTTGTAGGAGTTTTCATTCTGCTATAGGAGGATGCAGGACCCCTGACCCTATGTCTGGACCGTGCCGATTGGCCCTGTGCTGATCACATGCACTCTCCCAAGAAGAAAAAAAAACCTCTAGCAATATACACCAAACTGAGCATGTGCAGAGTGACTCAAAACCTATGTTCTAGCAGGAGATATTTAGGGGAAAATGGAAGGAGAGGATCAGAGAAGGCAAGATCTAACAGCCTTTTTACACAATGCAGAGAATTAACCCCTTAGGTTCCACAGTGAGTATAACAAGCATGCTTTACTGCATATACAGACTGATTTTATTGTTGTGGGTTTAGTAACACTTTAAACTAAAATTCAAGGATGTGCTGCAACAGAGTTAAAAGCATATAGGTAGAGAACCTGTAGGAACAATGAAATACCATGGCTTTCTGATTGTGCTCCCAAATTCTAGGCTTCTTATTGGCCACCTGTAGTGTTTGGAGGCTAATCAGAGGCTATGAATAGGTAACCCAGATGTATGTTAGGAAACTGTCCTTCAATCCCAGAACACACAGACACAAACCATTATCACACAGTGTAGAACATCTAATGCTAGTATTCCTTTTGAAGGTCCCTACTATAAGGATCAGGAACTGCTTCAAGTGTTCCAACATCACACATAACACAGTTTGCTTAAAAAAAGATTTATTTCAGTGTATATATACTGGTTTTTATACAAATCATGTGTCAGTAAAATGTTCAAATAAAAATTACGATTCTGGGGTATCCATAAAACCACATACATTAATGCAAGCTTATGCACTGCCTGTTTTAGGTGTTGCTGACTAGGTTATAAAAACATAACTCTACCAGTCATCGACACTATGTAAAGATGATGTAAAAGCGGTTTCATATTCAGTGACATTTTAGCAGCACACAGAGTTCCAGATCTATGGTGACATCTATGAGAGGCAGCAAATTCCCAATAAAGTCCATAGTGGGGTAGAGAGGTGGATCTACAGTTGTGACCAAAATTATTCAACCCCCAATGCTGTAAAGGGGTTTAGGGACTATAGTGTACATTTGGAATTGTATTCAGAATCAAATCCTACAAGGACGTTGTAACTACCCAAATGCAACTAAAATGACATCAATTGTTTATGTAATACAGTAGTAAATGGTTCTTATGTGGTTTCTTCATTGCCACAATTATTCAACCCCTTAAAGACTACCACTCTGAAGAACAGAGGTTCATACAGGTGCTTTCCATCAGGTATTGAAAACACCTGTGGATGTCACCGAGCAGCAATCAAGCATAATAAGCACCAATTAGGCAGCTTTAAAATGACTGTGATACTCAGCTCCTTCTAGACATTTACTGGTGTGGTTACAAACATGGTGAAGGCAAGAGAATGGTCCAGGAAGACAAGAGAAGAGGTGATTTCTCTTCACAGGAAGGGCAATGGCTATAAGAAGATTGCAAAGATGTTAAACATACCAAGAGACACCTTAGGAAGCATCATTCGCAAATTCAAGGCAAAGGGCACTGTTGAAACGCTACCTGGTCGTGGCAGAAAGAAGATGCTGACTTCGACTGCTGTGCGCTACCTGAAGCGTAGAGTGGAGAGAAGTCCCCGTGTGACTGCTGAGGAACTGAGAAAAGATTTGTCAGATGTGGGTACAGAAGTTTCAGCCCAGACAATAAGACGCACACTGCGTAATGAAGGCCTCCGTGCCAGAACTCCCAGGCGTACCCCCTTGCTGTCTCCAAAGAATAAGAAGAGTCGACTGCAGTATGCCAAAAGCCATGTGGACAAACCACAAAAGTTGTGGGATAGTGTTCTGTGGACTGATGAAACAAAAATTAGAAACTGTTTGGGCCCATGGATCAACGCTATGTTTGGAGGAGGAAGAACAAGGCCTATGATGAAAAGAACACCTTGCCTACTGTGAAGCATGGTGGAGGGTCAATCATGCTTTGGGGCTGTTTTGCTTCTGCAGGTACAGGGAAGCTTCAGCGTGTGCAAGGTACCATGAATTCTCTTCAGTACCAGGAGATATTGGATGGAAACGTGATGCAGTCCGTCACACACCTGAGGCTTGGGAGACGTTGGACCTTTCAACAGGACAATGATCCCAAGCATACCTCCAAGTCCACTAGAGCATGGTTGCAGAGGAAAGGCTGGAACATTTTGGAGTGGCCATCGCAGTCACCAGACTTAAATCCGATTGAGAACCTCTGGTGGGACTTAAAGAAAGCAGTTGCAGTGCGCAAGCCTAAGAATGTGACTGAACTGGAGGCCTTTGCCCATGAAGAATGGGCGAAGATACCCGTAGATCGCTGCAAGACACTTGTGTCAAGCTATGCTTCACGTTTAAAAGCTGTTATAACTGTAAAAGGATGCTGTACTAAGTACTAAGATTGAATGTCACTTGGGGGTTGAATAAAACTGATAATGCTGTGAGCACAGAAAAGACATTTGTGGTTATTTCATTATAACTGTTATGTTATATTTGTCTGACCTACAAGTGCCTCTTTAATGTAAATGTAAGCAAGATGACTGAATGATCAAAAGCAATGTCAAACTGGCCAAAACACTCAATTTCAGTGGGGTTGAATAATTTTGGTCACAACTGTATTCTGCAATTTACATCTGAAATGTCATTATTTTAGGAGATCAAAGCTTTAAAAAGGTCAAAACTCAAGCCCTTGTCTGTATAAATTGCAATCCTCCATACAATGTGTCAGACACTGATCTGTTCGCATTTAATGAGCACTAAAATGTAAAATGGATAGAACACTTCTGGGAAAAAACACCTGTTTGCTTTTAGTTACACACCAAAATATACAGCTTATATTACACTAGGAGATCAAAGCACTTTTTCAGACCTTCTCTTCAGACAATTGTTGATGAGCTTCTCTAGCAATAATTTATAATTTGTTTTTCCCCCTAAAAAAAATTATCATACATTGGCTTATTACAGCTTCCTACTGGAAGTCAGTTTATTTTTGGAATACTTTAAGGTTGACTCCAAATTAATATATATATGGAAATATCCTGTAGGGGACCCTTTTGCAATATTCTTGCCAGGCCAGTCCATATTTCTTCACGCACTGGTGTTCGTCCCTTGCCTCACGGTGAATTAAAAGGCCAGTGAAATAAATTACGTAGAAGTACGGTAGGATGTGAGAGACACCTGAGACAGCAATTTTTACAATGTTAAATAATTACAAACATAAATGAACAATTATAAATAAAAAACCTGCGCCAAAAAAAAAATAATTATACCCTTATTCAATGCTGCTGCTCTTTGTTGATAAACCATCAAACAATAATTGTGAAATATAAAACACAGCGCAAAAAATATAGACAATATAAACAAATAAGAAAAATTTAAAAAAATAGAAAAATTTTATAAAAAAAAAGTCCAAATGAATATATGTGCCAAAATGAAAAGTAAAGTCCCAATCCAAAGAATGAAGAGCTGTTCAAATCCAATGTGCTCCAAACACAACAGAACGTTGCTGTATACAGAAATTTCAGTGTGCTAACACCATCCGTGACATTCAACATATACTTCACTCACCAGATATATTGAACTCTCTAAAATTAGGAGTCAAACAAGCTTTGTGGATATTACATATTCTCCATAATAGGGATTCTCAGTGCTTCAGAACAAACTCCAACAGAGGGATCTCCCACACAGATCAATAGGTGTAAAAAAAGTAAAGACATACTGTAATACTGCCAAAAATTTGAATTAATAAAATAAAATGCATCATATGCACTCACATGGTTAACATGAAAAAACACCTTTATGTCACTTCCCAAGACACAGAAATTGCTATCCACCATTGAAGAGCTCCTATAGCGTGTACACTGGCAGCAATTCACATCAGACCCAGCAAAAATGGCTCTGGATGGCAGCATCCAGCATGTGCTCCACTCACTGGATGTGACATCACGGCATAGCAAAGGGAACCGGAAGTTACGCTGACATGTTTTGCCCCTCCTCCAGGGCGTTATCTAAAACCTTTGCCCTGAAGAAGGGCAGTCAAATTTTTGGCAGTATTACAGTATGTCTTTTCTTTTTTTAAACCTATTGATCTGTGTGGGAGATCCCTCTGTTGGGAGTTTGTTCTGAAGCAGTGAGAATCCCTATTATGGAGAATATGTAATATCCACAAAGCTTGTTTGACTCCTAATTTTAGAAAGTTCAATATATCTAGTGAAAGCAGTATATGTTGAATGACACAGATGGTGTTAACACACTGAAATTTCTGAATACAGCACCGTTCTATTGAGTTTGGAGCACATTGGATTTGAACATCTCTTCATTCTTTGGATTGGGACTTTTTACTTTTCATTTTGGCACATATTTATTTTTACACTTTTTATATAATTTTTTCTAATATTTTTATTATTTGTTTATATTGTCAATATTTTTTTTGAGCTGTGTTTTGTATTTCATAAATGAACAATGTTTTCATAAAAATGTGGCATTTTCAGTACTGGGTCTTGTCTTTGGAGAATATAATTTTCATATATCTGGACTTAAAGCTCTAAAAAAAAAGCATGCTACATGCCCCCTAAGCAGATCAAGACTAAGCCCACCCATTTTGTAATTCACAAAATAAAAAATCCTAGACTCAGTCACAAGTAGGTAGATGGCATTCTAGATGTGGATATGAGAACTATAACAGTTAGTCAACACCTCCCAAGTGTACATAATAAATGGAAAAATATCACTAGCCTCCAGTCTTCCACAATTGCAGACTGGAGTAGGGGGGTCTATAAAGTGTCAATTGCAACCAAAACGTAAAACTCAAAGCAACCTTACAATAACGTTTTTCCCCTCCCTTTCCTCTGGTGGCTTTCCTTCCTGTAATGGAATATAATAAATGTAATGTTATATTAGGTTATTTTGTCTTATGTAACTTTTTAATTTTAGATATTGTATTATGTACCATCTCCATATAAACCAAGAGCATGTGAATCCTGATGAAGCACTAGGTATACAGCGAGGAACAGAAGTATTTGAACACCCTGCGATTTTACAAGTTCTCCCACTTAGAAATCATGGAGGCGTCTGAAATTCACATTGTAGGTGCATTCCCACTCTGGGATACAGAATTTGAAAAAACAAATTTAGGAAATCACATTGTATGATTTTTAAAGCATTTATTTGTCTTGCACTGCTGAACATAAGTATTTGAACACCTAAGAAACTGCAAGATTTCTGGGACTCAAAGACCTGTTACTGTGCCTTTAAAAAGTCCACCTCTACTCCACTCATTAATCTAACTTAGTAGCACCTGTCTGAGCTCTTTAAAGACACCTGTCCACCCCACAGTCAGCCAGACTACTACCATGGGCAAGACCAAAGAGCTGTCAAAAGACACCAGAGACAAAATTGTGGACCTCCACAAGGCTGAAAAGGGCTACGGGGCAATTGCCAAGCAACTTGGTGAAAATAGATCAACTGTTGGAGCAATTGTTAGAAAATGGAAGAGGCTAAAGACGACTGTCAGTCTCCCTCGGACTGGGGCTCCATGCAAGATCGCACCTCGTGGGGTATCACTGATGATAGGAAAGGTGAGGAATCAGCCCAGAACTACAAGGGAGGAGCTGGTCAAAGACATGAAGAGAGCTGGGACCACAGTTTCAAAGGTCACTGTCGGTAGAACACTACGCCGTCATGGTTTCAAATCATGCATTGCATGGAAGGTTCCCCTGCTCAAGTCATCACATGTTCAGGCCCGTCTGAAGTTTGCCAATGACCATCTGGATGATCCAAAGGAGGCATGGGAGAAAGTCATGTGGTCAGATGAGACCAAAGTAGAACTTTTTGATCTAAACTTCACTCGTCGTGTTTGGAGGAAAAAGAATGAGTTGCATCCCAAAAACAAGGTGGCAACATCATGCTTTGGGGGTGCTTTTCTGCGAAGGGGAGAGTACGACGGCACTGTATTAAGGAGAGGATGAATGGGACCATTTATTGTGAGATTTTGAGCAACAACCTCCTTCCCCTCAGTCAGAGCATTGAAGATGGGTCGTGGCTGGGTCTTCCAACATGACAACGACCCAAAGCACACAGCCAGGATAACCAAGGAGTGGCTCCGTAAGAAGCATATCAAGGTTCTGGAGTGGCCTAGCCAGTCTCTAGACCTAAATCCAATAGAACATCTTTGGAGGGAGCTGAAACTCCGTGTCAGCCCCGAAAGCTGACAGATCTAGAGATCTGTGTGGAGGAGTGGGCCAAAATCCCTGTTGCAGTGTGTGCAAACCTGGTCAAGAACTACAGGAAATGTTTGACCTCTGTAATTGCAAACAAAGGCTTCTGTACCAAATGTTAACACTGATTTTCTCAGGTGTTCAAATAATTATGTTCAGCAGTGCAAGACAAATAAATTCTTTAAAAATCATACAATGTGATTACCTTAATTTTTTTTTTTTTTTTTTTTTAATTCGGTCTCTCAGAGTGGGAATGCACCTACAATGTGAATTTCAGACCCCTCCATGATTTCTAAGTGGGAGAACTTGCAAAATCACAGGGTGTTCAAATACTTCTGTTCCTCACTGTATGTGAAATGAGTTCATTCACTAAGCTCTACAGCTCTATTGAATGTTTGGGATATGGATTACTTTTTAACAAAATTATGTGTTTTATTGTAACTAATAAAGTTGCTTTGAGTTTTACATTTTGGTTGTGACTGACACTTTACATCTCCCTACTCCACTCTCCAGTTGTGGAAGACTGGAGGCTAGTGATACTTTTCCAAAAGTAGATAGATGCTTCCTTTAAATACACATCATTACAGATACTCACCACAAGGCAAGGACCAGGCTAGAGCCATAATTAGGTCTCCTAAGTAATTGGGATGGCGAACAAGACCCCACCAACCAGAAACCAGCAGCCGTTTTCCAGTCGCTGTTGGGATGGTTTCAAGCCCTAAAGTAAGGAAATATACCAGTAGATGTAAAACAGGCATAGTGACATCAATTAGTGTATTGTGTGCCAATCCTTTTCTTCATTGCTGGGGTCTAAACATTCTCCCACTCAATCCAAAAACTAATGATAGGAGAATCCTATGTATCAGTGGTCTCCAAACTGAGGCCTGAGGCTTTTATCCGGCCCTTCGAGCACCATTTCTTCCAATGATAAAAAACAATGGGTCATAATTCCCTCCTACTGACACAATGAAGAAGCATTGTTTTTTTTTCTCACTGGCATGTGAACCTTTTCTATTTCCAATGGTCACAGTATGGCCCCCCTAAAATCTGAAGGACAGTAAACTGGCTCTTTGTTTTTAAAGTTTGGATACCCCTGCTATATACTGTAGGATTTTCATAGCCAAAGAGGAAAGAATAGTGTAATGATTGTATTACATCTGAGTAGATTGCAGTAAACCAGGGTTAGGCAAGCTTGGTACTCCAGCTGTTGTGGAACTAAAAGTCCCATGAGGCATTGCAAAACTGACAGCCACAGGCATACCTCCTAAAGACAGAGGCTTGATAGGATTTATTTAATCACAGCTGGAGTGCGGAGGTTACCTACTCCTACACTAAACCATCAAAATATTTAGCAGCCTGTCAAATGTGGAGCATATCTGCATGGTGATCTGTCTTTTGACAGATGGTTTCTCTCACAGGGTGAACAGAATCACTCCTCCATGAGTGATCAGGAGTGGTTGTTAGGATGAGATATGCTAAAATGTCCTGAGATACACGTTTTAGAAGCCTCCAGTATAGATGGATTTTGCATACCAAACAGACAATAAGTGCTCTTGTATACATGGAAACTTTTTTTTTTTTACATTCTGTGCTCTCAGATCTCAAATTGTTTACGCCTTCTGCCGTTCAGATTAAAATATTCCAGGTAAAATAATACAAATGTTGATCCCATTTACGGTCATTTCCATTGTCGGTTATACAGTATATAACACCAAGTTAAAGTGGACCAAAATGAAAAGTCATCAAATCAAAAATGCTATTAAGCCCAAAGGCAAACATTTATTATGGCTGCATTAGTTTTCCTTTTTAGGCTTCTTTCTTCTACTTTTATCTGGTGATCCAGCCCGCAAGTTTGTTGTTTTTCAAAAGAACAAGCTATCCAGCAGAATGTATCAGTTACAGAGGGGAGACAAACCATTTACCACTAGCAGGCATGCTTACAATGATCAGCTTTTATTTATGTAAACCTTTTGTCCCAAAAGGAAAGAAAAACTGCTGTAACTGCCTATAAAGTATTAGCCAGGGTTTGGCTTCAATTTGTTAGTGTATTTAAATCTTTTAGTACTTCTAACATTCCCCTCCCCACAGACTGACAATGCTGCTGACAAAGCTGCCCCCTGTGCTCATTCATCCAGAGTGGAGGAACTCCAATACAGGAGGTGTGTTACTGGCCAGATCACTAAGTGAAAACAAAGGGGGAAAGAAAAAGCCAAAAAAAAAAAAAACGACACAGCCACCACATCTAAGGATTAGTAAACTGCAATATATTACATTTTTGGTTTTGGGTTTGAACCATTTTAAAGAGGAACTTCACTTGGCCATGGCAAAGTTTCTGTATAATACTGTACTTGCTATTTTTTAATAAACATATTTACTATCCCTCGAAGTCTACTGATGTTTTCCCCACAGCCAATTCTTATCTGGCGCCATCATCTTGGATTTGGGAGCTGGTTATGACTTCCTGAAGAATCACAGCCAGCTACCCACTGCGCATGCGCAAGATTGAGCAATGCAGTTAAAATGGTCCTGCAGCTCCTGGGATGTGTGACATTATCCCAAGTGAGGAATGAGCAGATGGGAAAACAAAGTACTTGTTCCTCCTGAAAAAAATCTTCAATTGACATAGAAGCAAAAACAATATAAACAGCAGTTTTTTGCTAAAATATAATGGGTGAGGCTGTGTCAAATAGATACCAAATATGTCAAGCCTCAAAATTGCATGCACTTCTAACCCTAAATCTTTCTATTATCGGCGCTTTAAAAGCTTTTACAGGCCATCCATTTAGAGTAATATAGTTGTAGAAGTTTTCAGGTAGCTCTACAGCCCCCCCATATTACTTCTATAAATATCTGACAACTAAATGTAGCAATGTAAAAAAACTTACGACTGTTGCGAGTTGAATTCAATGCTAGTACTACCGCTGCCATAATGGTTAAGGTGGCAGCAAAAGTCTTAAAACTGTTCAGTACCAGTTTGGGAATGTCAACCCCTTTCTGCCACCACCTCCTGATCCTTCAACAGTTTCTAAATACCAGGAGGCGGAGGTGGGCATTCAGATCATATGACCTCTGTGCATCAGGAGCTTTCTGTTACCTACTCATTACTGCACAGGGAGTACAGCCAACCCTCTTTTGGCTGTACTTCTGTGAATCAAAGGAGTGCAGTTTGTTCTGCACTCCTATGACCCATTTTAAGCTGACAGGGCTGAAGCCTGCTGTCGGCTGACATCATTCTGCCGATCCAGGCTGGGGAAAGATCCTGACTTTAAAGTCGGGATCCACCCCAGAATCTGAAGCGGCACCTGGCTCAGCCTCTCAGTGATCCGCTTAGAGCCAGCTGCTCCCTCCCCCTTCACAGCCCAGTGTTCCAGTGACTGCGGGGGGGGGGGGGGGGGGGGGGGGCAGAGCAGACAGTGGTGACTGACAGTCACCGCTCTCTGCTCAGAGTGGCAGCGATCAGTGGTCATGTGATTGCTGAGTAATCACTCTTAGAGCCAGCGAGGGAAAGATGTAGAATCCGACTGATGCTGCATCCACCTAGGCAAGTATGATTTAAAAAAAAAAAAAAAAAAAGATCCCATACTTCTCTTTTAACTGAATTCCCAATTGACATAAGTGATCTAACGCAGGGCTTGAAAAAGCTGCTCGTCCGCTCGCCAAATGCGAGGAGAAATTCCTCTGTGGCGAGCAGCTGCGAACGGTGAGCACAGATGAAGCTTGGAGCGACTGCACCTGCGCTCCAAGCCTCATTGTGAAGCCGATTTCCGGTTTACAACTTCTGGTTTCCGGCTTCTGCTGCACCGTCGCTGAGGGGACAAGTGCAGGAGAGGTCCGCTCTCCTCCGCTGAGAGGAGACACCCTCTCCACCGCTGCGGGGGACTCGGGGGGACAGTAAGTACTGTATACAACATGTCATATCACTATAATGGAGTACAGGGGAGCTGGGATATACATACTGTATACATGTCATATCACTATAATGGAGTACAGGGGAGCTGGGATATACATTACATTACTATGATTACTGTATACATGTCATATCACACTATAATGGAGTACAGGGGAGCTGGGATATACATTACTATGATTACTGTATACATGTCATATCACTATAATGGAGTACAGGGGAGCTGGGATATACATTTACTATGATTACTGTATACATGTCATATCACTATAATGGAGTACAGGGGAGCTGGGATATATATACTGTATACATGTCATCACTATAATGGAGTTCAGGGGAGCTGGGATATACATTACTGTATACATGTCATATCACTATAATGGAGTACAGGGGAGCTGGGATATACATTACTGTGTACAGTTTTATATTTCAGACTATTTATTCTAAAGAAAATGTAATTTCATAAGCTTTAAGGGGGCGTGGTTGGGGGTGGGGTGGAACCTGGGCAAGGTTGGGTGGGGCAACTGGTGGTGTGTAAGTTTTTTGTGACTGGCTAGCTAGTAGGTCTGGACTTAAAATTTTAACCCCTGATCTAATGCATTGCCTTCACTGCTTCAAACCACATGACAATTACTCTTTAATGGATCTGGCAGACTTCTATTTCTTACCAGATACACTTGGGTCTGAGGGATTTCTTCGGAAAGCATTTTTCTGTGAATTTGAGCCTCTGAAAATAATGTATCCTACAGCTGGTAGAAAAGAAATAAAAAATAAATCTTAGAAATGTTATGTATATGTTCAATAGTTCAATTATATATCATATAAGCAAAAAAGTAGCCTACATATTTGAGAATCCTGCAACTACTACAGTGGGCGGTAACAGTAGTAGCAGCATTTCACAGAGGTGATTCTAAACAGTAAATCAGTAAATTAAATATTCTTTTATTTTCTAATATCTAATTTGTATAATTTGCCCTAATAGACTTCGGCCAGCACATAATGGGCCTGATAAAATATTGTTTTTCTGACATTTTTTTGGCTCAAGTGTGATGCATACTTGACATGCCTTGCGTGTGATGCATGACTTGACTAAACCACGACACACCTATAAGATAAAAGGAAATGAGAAGCCGCACCCCGATGAAGTCACTCTGCTAGGTCAATCTTCATTCATCCATTAATGCAATACAAAGTGGATAATGTCAGAGGGAAAACTATGTAACAAACTGCGCTCACCCCAGAAATGTCACCTGTAGTTGAAATAGCTGTGATGAGCCCAATACGGCTCTCCACTAGCTGAGTGATTGTCAGAGACTAATTAGGATTTTGTGAGTGTGGAAAAACCAACACGATGAAATCCTACCAATGAGGCTGAGAATAAATCAATCAATCCAAGAGTACAACATAAAAGATAAAATTATGCACACAGTGAAAAATCAATATGGATACAATAATATCTAAAAGCGGGTTGCCCAGATGAAGAAAAAAAACAGTCCTTAAGCTGCCATAGCTAAGAGGGTGCAGCTGCTGAGCTGCGTGGGCTAAAACTGCAAACCTGTATAAAACAAGAAAAGGAGAGAAGAGCGTACACCCCATAGTGTAGCATGCATAAGGAAGTTTAATAGACAAAATAAAATCTAAAGTTGGACTCACAAACAACTGCAGGGTGTAGAGGCTTGTCAGGTGGCTTGGAGGATAAGTCCAGAGTCAGTGTATGAGTTATCCCAGACGCCAGCTTTGGCCACTGGCTGGAGAAAGCATGGGCTGAAGTTAAAATGACACTGCTCACAGAGATGGATGGAGCTGCTGCAAGGTTCGGAGTCTAAGAGCTGAAAGCCTCCTGTTTTCACCGCCGTGTACCCCAAAATTCATGGACGTGTTTCGAAGCAATCCTGCTTCTTTATCAACCACTTGGTTTGATAAAGAGGACTTATACTCCAAGCCACCTGACAAGCTTCCTGTAAGTGCAACCATTGATTTTATTTTGTCCATTAACCTTCCTTATTCATGCTACATTGTGAGGTGTGCGCTCCTCTCTCTCCTATCTTATTAAAGCAACAGACCTTATACCCACCAGGTGCCCACCCCCATCTAACATTGTGCACTCAGCACACATCTTTTGGTTCTGTCCACAGATTACGATTATAGGACTACGTTTACAATGGTCTTAGAGCAAGTACTCAATGTTAACCTTCCCCTAGACCAGTGTTTCTCAACTCCAGTCCTCATGGACCCCCAACAGGTCATGTTTTCAGGATTTCCATTATTTTGCACAGGTGATTTGATCAGTTTCACTGCCTTAGTAATTACCACAGCTGTTTCATCTGAGGGAAATCCTGAAAACATGACCTGTTGGGGGTCCATGAGGACTGGAGTTGAGAAACACTGCCCTAGACCCACTATATTATCTTTTGGGGCTACCCTTTAGGGGTATTTCTAAGCAATCCAAGAGGTTGGGAATACATATTCTGACGGCTGCTAGACGGGTGATACCACGACTCTGGAAATCAGTCAATGCCCCCACACTAACCCATCTTTTAAGAGCAATCTCTGAAATCAGAGAAATTGAATATTTTACAGCCCTACTGGGTGACTATTCAGGTCATTTTCAATCTATTTGAGAACCATGGGATCACTCTCTCTTTGGTAGAACTCCTTCCTCTCCCCCCCTTATATAGCTCAGATACCTCTTTACTTATCAAACCTCTGACAATTATTGCAACCAAACAATGTGCAGGCTTATGTTGTCTTGTGTTTTTGTAATGTACAGTTTACCATGCTGTCTAAATAAGTTCATATTTCTTTTGTTTCTGTTCTCTTTTATATTGTTTGTGGATTTCTTTCACTGCAACGTTCACACCTAAAGTGTTGTTGTAACCTGTTCTGAAAAAATGGGCTTTGGCCTTCAATAAAAATTTACAATAACATGGTGCACTCTTAAACTGGCTATACACGTATAGATTTTCGTACGGGAATTTTAATTTCAAGAATATTCATTTGATTTTCTAACCATTAATGGAATCAAATCAATATTTGTTTTAGACCGCAGTGACAAGGAAAATTCAAAGGGGCAGGAAGGAAAACTTTTCTCGATCAAACAAATTTTTGGCCAGTATATGTGTTATCATTCAGAAATTACATTTATTTCAAACTTGAATGTTAAAAGCAAAAGACAATTTTCGAACGACATTCATCCCTTCACAGAATGTTCAAAGAATTTTCATACGACTTTTCATATGAATATTCTTGTCCAAAAATCTACACGTGTATAGCCAGCTTTACAGACTTAATCATGAATTCCATATCATAGCCAAAAACTCACCAGAAGGAGCAGGCAGCTCTGTCTTGCTCAGCTGTTTGCACTTCTCTCTCCCCTCAGCGAGGAAGGAGGAAGCGATAGCGAGCTGCATTGCTTCCTGCAAAGTGAGACAGTGATGGGTGTGTACTGTCACTGTGCAAAACGATCCTAATAAACAGAGGTCCCTGAAGAACCTCTGTTTATTACAGACACTGTTTGCACATTTATGTGCACAGATATACATAGTGCAGGGCATGTATAGTTTACCTGGCCAAATTAATCATAGCACGTGAAGGTCTTAATGCTTACAGTGCTTTTTTAATTCACTTTATCTACAGTAAACACAAGTCCAGAAACTGAGTGTTTTGAAAGAGAAATTATGATGATAGAAATATGAGAGATGTCATTTCTGAATTATTTTAAAAGTTACAGGATCCAAGACCTTCATGGTGTTCTTTTATTGGAAATGTCACTGGCGGCATAATTGTTCCTGATCAGTGACTTGTTGAGCAGTGAAGCCAAGATCAGCATTGACAACCCAGCAAGTGCAATTCCAAGATTTCCTTTATCACATCTATTTCAGTCTTAAAATATGTAGCCTATACATTAACAAAGCTGACAAGGTTGATTAGGTAATCTACCATTTATGAGGATTATAACTGCTGCGGCTGCAGTGCTCAGCTCCTGTGGGTGACTGACAAGGAAATACGCCTGCAGAGAATAGGTGAATGGAACCCAGCACAAATCACCAAAAGCCAACATGAAACCAAATCCATCATGCACAATATCCATTGTAGTAAGGATCGCTTCCTGCAGAGGAAAAATGAAAGTGTGTTAGGGTACCCAGTAAAAAAACTGTTGCAAATGATGACCCAAAGACTAGGTAGCAATCTCTAAAGGAACTGTAGGTTATTGAAGTTAAAAATGAACAAAGAGCTGAAAAAGGAAGTTGGGCTATATTAGAATTTTTGGCCCAGAAAGAATGGCCATATAAAGAGGTTAAAATAACTGCTGCACTCCAACATCTGATAAACAATATTTGGATGTCTAATGGTTGGGATGTGCAGTCCAGAGACAATGATACATGTGGTCGTCACATACTGTAAGTAGTTACTGAACTATTTCTGTTTTCCTGTGTAAGAAGAGTATTTGTCCAAATCTTATAAAGATCAGGTGACCTAAGACATGGTCCACTGGTTCTGGTATGCTTAAGGAGAGAATACCAAATTTTGCTGGGCACTGGTGCATCATTTTTCTTGAATTCTCCATTACAAACACTGAATGGATCAGCTTCACTTGTATATAAAAATGTCTGAAAGGAGTCAGTGTTGCCCTGACCTATCAGTTTTTTTTTTCAGATGCTTTTTTACATGTGTACACTTTTTTTTCCCATAGTCAGAAATTACTTTACACACATGTTAAATCAGAACTCCAACTAAAATAAACAGTTAAAAGATTAAATAAAAAAGGCAATACCCACCTGCAATACAGGGCTGTCCCCTGTATTAATTCTTTTCTTTCACTAGATGTTCTCAGTATTCCAGACAATGACAGTCAATATCATTCGACTCATGTCTTCTGAGCTAAGAGTGTCATGGACCAGCTCTCTGGGACATTATTATTACCCAGCCTGGGCTCAGAATGCTGATGTACTGAATGGCGCTCAAAATGTAAAATAACATGAGCACTGTTCTATGTAAAAGCAAGAGCAACTCCCCACTCGAGGAGAAAGTTGTCAGAGCAGACAGGAGTATGTAAGTATGGTTTTTAATATTAAGTGTATGGGGGGGGGGGGGGGCTTTAAAAAACAAATACAATGTGATTAAAATAGTTGGATAACCCAAGATAGCACAGACAAAAAGAAATTGTTGCTCTAACAATCATATTTAGAAAACCAGACCACACTAGGCATAAGAGCACAACATGGTCAGTTCTCTAGCTATGGTGGGAGCTCAGCCTGTTCTCCTCCAATGACCAGGCCTGTGCTAACATGCCCTCCTGCATAGCCATTCGCAGCAAAGATCAATGTGTTGCTGCTTCTTCTCCCCCAGCTCCTTATGCAGCTGAGAACAGAGGGTATGTCATTCCTTTAAAAAAGTGAAAAAAAGGCATTTATAATGTTTTCTGTGCATATGCACAAATGTTCCATCTTTAATTTCTATTTTAACCCCTTTGTGCTGATCGCCGCCTGGCCCTTTAAGAGTTCTGGAAGCAGGGAGGCAGGCATTTGGGTCATTTGATCACTGTGATTGGCTGGCACAGTGGTCACGATTGAAAAGCTCCGATCACATGTATGCGTCGGTAGCTTACTGATCCCCGCCTGCTACTGTGCTGGGAGTGTGCAGGGAGCACGCTCTCAGTACAGTAAGTTGTTTTAACAGGGCCGCATATATGTGGCCTCTCGGTGTTAAGGCCCACCCACCGAGCAGCCACAAATTTGTGTACGGCCAGCGTCGAGGTTAAACTGAATGGCTTGTTTTACAAGGTGAGGGTTTACATATACTTTAAAAAAGGGAATACAGAATACAGACTAACCTCATGCCAAAGGGCATCCGTGACATAAAGTGCTTGAAATCCACACACCAAGATCATAGAAAGGGAAGGGGAGCCTCGGAGCTCAATCTCTTTCATCAGGAAGCACAGGTTGATCAAACACTGGAGAGTAATATTTCATATGTCAGAAAGTGTGCACAGAGAATAGAAGCAAAGCTTTTCACAGTCATTAGCTCCAGCCTTGAATCAATCATGTTCAGTGCGTTATTCTATTTTAATCTTTGAGAACAAAATTTAGGCTTGGATACAGAAAAAATTAAATCTGTAATGCTCACCCAACCAATGAGTCCTGGACGAAGTTCACAGAAATACTTCAGATCAAAGGAGCCAATACGAGGGTTCAACTCATGTCCAATGAAAAAGTCATACACAGGATTACCTTAATCAAAAGGACAAAAAAAATGGGCATATAGAAAAACAAGTGAAAATGTACAGTGGCTAAATGGTGAGCACTTCCACCTGGCTGTACTATGGTCGTTGGTTCAAATCCCAACCACGGCACCACCTGCCTGGAGTCTGCATGTTCTCCCTGCGCCTGTGTGGGTTTCATCTGGGTACTCTGGTTTCCTCCCACACTCCAGAGACATGCTGGTAGGTTCATTGGCTCATGTCTAAATTGGCCCTGATATGTGTATGTATGAATGTGAGTTAGGGACCTTAGATTGTATGCCCCTTGAGGGTTAGGGACTGATGTGAATGTACAATACTGTATATATGTAATGTGCTGCGTAAAATTGACGGCACTATATAAGTACCTCTAATAAATAAATAAAATGCTAGATAGTTAGTTGGTAGTTAGTTCATCTTTTTTTCTTAATTTGCTCTAGAAATTGACAGCTGGATGTTAGAAGCAGATGCTAGAAGAACACAATCTATACATGCATCCTGACAAGTATACTACTGCCATATACTACTGACAAAAATATACTCTGATTGACAGACATGGTATCACCATACTTTCCATGGCTAGAGAATAGAATGAATAGTATTCATAAAACAACTAAGATTCAGCCATTTGATCTCTGTGCAAAGGGCAGGAAAGCTGTGTTGTACCTGAGTTTCCACCTGGTGCCAGTGCAGATTCTGGTGCAGTCAATGATTTAATGTAGAGGAAAATGCTTAGAGCCAAGACAAGAGTGCCGAGGCGACTGCAAACTGACGGAAGTGATCATACACATAAGAGAGGGGAAGACGGAGCACCACTGCTGCTCCTGCTATGATGGCAGTCACCAAGAAGGCTTGAAATGCTGTAGACAGAAAAGTAACAGCAAAGGATCATTAAAAAATCAAAACGGATACACACTATACTGACTGAAGGAACTCCAGAGGGCACTAATTGCATCTAAACAATTAGGAACCATGTTACCACTTTTTCTCAGAATATTTGTAAGAAGTACAGTCAGGTCCATAAATATTGGGACATCGACACAATTCTAACATTTTTGGCTCTATACACCACCACAATGGATTTGAAATGAAACAAACAAGATGTGCTTTAACTGCAGACTGTCAGCTTTAATTTGAGGGCATTTACATCCAAATCAGGTGAACGGTGTAGGAATTACAACAGTTTGCATATGTGCCTCCCACTTGTTAAGGGACCAAAAGTAATGGGACAGAATAATAATCATAAATCAAACTTTCACTTTTTAATACTTGGTTGCAAATCCTTTGCAGTCAATTACAGCCTGAAGTCTGGAACGCATAGACATCACCAGACGCTGGGTTTCATCCCTGGTGATGCTCTGCCAGGCCTCTACTGCAACTGTCTTCAGTTCCTGCTTGTTCTTGGGGCATTTTCCCTTCAGTTTTGTCTTCAGCAAGTGAAATGCATGCTCAATCAGACTCAGGTCAGGTGATTGACTTGGCAATTGCATAACACTCCACTTCTTTCCCTTAAAAAACTCTTTGGTTGCTTTTACAGTATGCTTTGGGTCATTGTCCATCTGCACTGTGAAGTGGCGTCCAATGAGTTCTGAAGCATTTGGCTGAATATGAGCAGATAATATTGCCTGAAACACTTCAGAATTCATCCTGCTGCTTTTGTCAGCAGTCACATCATCAATAAATACAAGAGAACCAGTTCCATTGGCAGCCATACATGCCCACGCCATGACACTACCACTACCATGCTTCACTGATGAGGTGGTATGCTTAGGATCATGAGCAGTTTCCTTTCCTTCTCCATACTCTTCTCTTCCCATCACTCTGGTACAAGTTGATCTTGGTCTCATCTGTCCATAGGATGTTGTTCCAGAACTGTGAAGGCTTTTTTAGATGTCGTTTGGCAAACTCTAATCTGGCCTTCCTGTTTTTGAGGCTCACCAATGGTTTACATCTTGTGGTGAACCCTCTGTATTCACTCTGGTGAAGTCTTCTCTTGATTGTTGACTTTGACACACATACACCTACCTCCTGGAGAGTGTTCTTGATCTGGCCAACTGTTGTGAAGGGTGTTTTCTTCACCAGGGAAAGAATTCTTCGGTCATCCACCACAGTTGTTTTCCGTGGTCTTCCGGGTCTTTTGGTGTTGCTGAGCTCACCGATGCGTTCCTTCTTTTTAAGAATGTTCCAAACAGTTGTTTTGGCCACGCCTAATGTTTTTGCTATTTCTCTGATGGGTTTGTTTTGTTTTTTCAGCCTAATGATGGCTTGCTTCACTGATAGTGACAGCTCTTTGTTGCTGTCAACTCTCAAGATGAGATCCAGATTCCAAATGCAAATAGCACACTTGAAATTAACTCTGGACCTTTTATCTGCTCATTGTAACTGGGGTAATGAGGGAATAACACACACCTGGCCATGGAACAGCTGAGAAGCCAATTGTCCCATTACTTTTGGTCCCTTAACAAGTGGGAGGCACATATGCAAACTGTTGTAATTCCTACACAGTTCACCTGATTTGGATGTAAATACCCTCAAATTAAATTTCATTTCAAATCCATTGTAGTGATGTATAGAGCCAAAAATGTTAGAATTGTGTCGATGTCCCAATATTTATGGACCTGACTGTATGTCTGAACCAACAAATCCCACACAGAAGATATAAAATATAACCCTGTTACAGGACACAATTTTGGTGTCACTTTTTTGCAGAGTACTCCTACAGCATTAGAAGTGCTTAAGCAGGTGTCAGCACTGGCATGCCCCATGGATGGAAGTTATTCTGGTAAGAGACCCATTGCCTACGTCCTTACCGTCTATAATTATTAAAAAATTAGAGGTTTCCTTTCAGTCACAAACACGTTTCAATTAGGCTTAAGGCCCACGATACCAATTTTTCTACAAATCCCCTTTGTTTAAAAGAAAGGTATGGAATTTTTTCTTTTTTAAAAATCATACTTACCTAGGGAGGATACAGCATCAATCCGATGCTGCACCTGTCCCCTGCTGCCTCTAACGCTGAGAAATGAGCGATCAGACACCGCTGATCGCCCAATTCTCCCCAGTGCTCTGAGCAGAGAGTAGTGACTGTCAAGTTTCCGGCTCTCCACTTTGCCCCCACCAGCACTCACTGGAGCACTGGGCTGTGGACTCAGGCTCTCAGCAAGCCGAGAGGCTGGGCCAGGTGCCAGTCCAGGCTCCTGGATGGATTTGGTCATGATCTTTGCCCATCCTTGACCGGCTCTGTGATGCTTTAGCCCACTGTCAGCTGAGAACGGGTCACTGGAGTGCATAACAAACTGCACTCCTGTGATCTACAGAAGTACAGCCATGCAAGCTTTGGCTGTGCTTCTCCTTTCAGTAGAACTCCAGCCATATCCTTTTTTTTAACAGTGAAGAGTTTGAGACTCTCCATCAGGTTTTTATTGTGTTCTGTCACACTGTTGGAAAGATCAGCCCTCACTATTTGTCAGAAAGTGAGAGGAAGTCTACAATTTTACAGCTGTAACCAGACCACCAAAGAAAAAAAGTCAGCAATTCAAACCCATTGAAGAAATGGCCGGCACACCAAAAATGAACCTTAAAATTGAAAAGGCTTATTGAGGTACACATACATAAAGTGCTCTTAGATAAAGTGCAAAAAGAAGCATATTCATTGACATTTCAGGGCCATGATGGACCCTTTTCTTAATGGGACAGAAATGGCATTAATGTTGGTTACCTTAAAAAAAAGGAGTCCAGTGTAGCCCTTAAACATTGCTTTATTTTTGCACTTTATCCATTATTGTTGGTATATTGGCCATTTTTTGAATGAGCTATAATACAGTATCATAGTTTGCCGTACACTTCTTTTGAAAGCGGAGGAGAGCCTGGTGCTGAATGGATTGGACTGCAGCAATTAAAACCAGACAGAAGTTCTAACTCTTTCCGAGGGTAAATGAAGTAGAGTTTTCATATTAAATACATTATAGGCAACCTTTAGGTTTATTATGATTACCTTACCATTTATTTTGTATTTTAGGCGAGTGTTGTCCCTCAAAGTAATTCCCTCAGCAATCTGTTTACAAAGCAATAAATGAACACATTTTCAATATAAGGCAATGTACACACAACATTACAAAAAGAACATCTTCTTAACAGACAAAAATGATAACAATAAACTTTATGTAGGAAGTATGATCATGGGTTGCATACATAGGGGTCTCTTGCCCATAGCATCCATTACATAGTTACATAGTTAGTCTGGCTGAAAAAAGACAAAAGTCCATCCAGTTCACTCATAGAAAAAAAAAAGTTATAATCCTATACCAACAGTTGATCCAGAGGAAGGCAAAAAAAACCCAGCAAAGCATGATCCATTTTGCTCCTGCTGGGAAAAAAATTCCTTCTTGAACCCCATGAGGCTTCTAACAATACAAACAGAGGGAAGATGAAGGATTGACTAAGACATACAGAGTTTTCTTCTTTTTTTTTGCAGCACAATCCTTGTACACTGTCAAAGCTACTGTTTACCATTGGAAATAGAGAAAGTAGCAGTCAGCTCCATATATTCACTGTAGAAGTGAATTTTGTTGCTGTGCAATTCAGTGCTATGTCTTCAACACCAGTATTTCCCAACCTCATTCCTCACAACCCCCCAAAAGGCAATGTTTTAGGAATTTCCCTTAGATAAAGTAGCTTCCAAGTCATTGACATTGATTTAAAGCACCCGTGGAAGGTGAAGGAAATCCTGAAAACATGACCTGTGGTACTTGAGGACTGAGGTTGGGAACCCCTGTTCTAGAGACATAAGAGATCTTTAACTGCCCTATTTTTGGATATCTCATGAATTCATGTACCTTTGAGAGTTGTAAATGGTATCTGTGCAAATGTCTTCTGCTTTATGGAATATATATGTTTTAATAAAATGACTGTTATTTAATTTAATACATTTTGTTAGTGGTGAGAATGGTGATAAATAGTTGAAGTACCTTTCCCATAGGCAGCATGTATAGTAGGGCTTGTAAAGCCACCCAGCCCAGTAAAACCATCAGAGCAAATGGATTCCATAACGATTCCAGCGAAGGCAGAGGGCCGGGCAAACGCAACACACTGGCATCATCGGTGTTACACGTCAATAGAAGGTACAGCACAGTTCCAGGCAACAGAATAATAAGTGCTAGGGCACCTAGACATAGAAAGAACTCAACTGTAAGAATGCAAACTGTAAAATCTTCCTAATACCTCTTTGTAGCCATAAAGCCACATCTTACCCAGAAACCCTCCAAATTCCAGTTCTTTCGTCCTTGGAGTTTTAATCTTGTCTGCCATGTTTATCTATGTCACGATGTTTCCAATGATAGAGACAATCTAGAATTTAGAAAAACACACATATATATTACTAACAATTGCTATACAATCAGCCCCCAAGTTATATAAGGGTTATGCTATTTAAAGTGGTTGTAGACCCTTACATATAGCCAGTGAAGTGGCTGACCTCAGGTGATACACAGAGATGAAACAAATCCTCCTATACAAGGTGTACCTGTTTATCTGTAGTATTCTTTTCTCTGCATCCATGCAAAGTCCTGAATTTATAAAACTTGTCTGAGCTTTCAGGAAACAGGGGGCGGGAAGCTGCAGTTTAACTTTGGAGGGAAGGGACGGACACACACACACACACCTGAGGCTGTCAATCTTCCGGAGGTTCCTCCCCTGTCACCACGTTTCTCTTTCTGTCAGGAAAACTTGCCAGAAATGATTCCAGCAGATAACAAAGGAATGAAGCAGCAGACAGAAATGACACTTGAAGGGATATGCTTTCTTCATACTTCATATGTGAGGTTTACAACCACTTTAACTATTTGATATTGTATATGTTATAGTTAACTGTTTAAAAAAAAAAAAAAAAAAAACTCCACAACAAATAACTCAATTGAATGGGTTATTCTGTTATTGCCCACTAACTGTAACATTTGGAGACTGTGGTGGGAAATTTTCTAACAAGGAACCTGGCTTGGCAGTAGCCTCACATCCGACCCATAGTCAGGACCTGACTACAGATCTAGGGAAGGGTACAGAAAAATTTCTGCAGCATTGAAGGTCCCAATGAGCACAGTGGCCTCCATCATCCATGAATGGAAGAAGTTTGGAACCACCAGGAATCTTCCTAGAGCGGGCCGCCTAGCCAAAATGATCGATCGAGGGACAAGGGCCTTAGCCAGGGAGGTAACCAAGCACCCGATGGTCACTCTGAAAGAGCTCCAGTGTTTCTCTGTGGAGAGAGAAGAACCTTCCAGAAGAACAACCATCTCTGCACCACTCCACCAATCTGGCCTGTATGGTAGCGTGGCCAGACGGAAGCCACTTCTCAGTAAAAGGCAAATGGCAGTCCACCTGGACTTTGCCAAAAGGCACCTGAGGAACTCTCAGACCATGAGAAACAAAACTCTCTGATAAAACAAAGATTGAACTCTTTGGCCTGAATGCCAAGCATCATGTCTGGAGGAAACTACGCACCGCTCACCTCCTGGCCAATACCATCCCTACAGTGAAGCATGGCGGTGGCACCATCAAGCTGTGGGGATGTTTTTCAGTGGCAAGAACTGGGAGACTAGTCAGGATTGAAGGAAAGATAAATGCAGCAATGTACAGAGACATCCTTGATGAAAACCTGTTCCAGAGCGTTCTGGACCTTAGACTGGGGCGACGGTTCATCTTTCAACAGGACAACGACCCTAAGCATACAGCCCACATAGCAAAGGAGTGGCTACGGGCCAACTCTGAATGTCCTGGAGTGGCCCAGCCGGAGCTCATACTTGAACCCAATTGAACATCTCTGGAGAGATCTGAAAATGGCTGTGCACTGACGCTCCCCATCCAACCTGATGGAGCTTGAGAGGTGCTGCAAAAAAGAAAGGGAGAAATTGCCCAAAAATAGGGGCGCCAAGCTTGTAGCATCATACTCCAAACGACTTGAGGCTGTAATTGGTGCTAAAGGTGCTTCACCAAAGTACTGAGCAAAGGCTGTGAATACTTGTGTACATGTGTTTTTCTTGTTTTTTGTTTAATAAATTGCAAAGATTTCAAAATGAACTTCTTTCATACTGTCATTGTGGGGTATTGTTTGTAGAATGTTGAGGAAAAAAAATTAATTTATTTCATTTTGGAATAAGGCTGTAACATAACAAAATGTGAGCTGCGAATACTTTCTGGATGCACTGTATAGACAGAGAAAGGGTAGAAAGTTACCAGCTTTGTGGAACATGGGCGTACTTGCTGTGAGGCAAAAAAGGAGTTTGCCTAAGGTGTCATTTTTCAGGGGGGCGGCGCCGCCCCCAGGCAAAAGTGACACAGTGGCAGTGGGTGACTGAGGAGCAGTGGAGGCAGAGGAACAGCAGGAGCTGGGATCTACGAGAGGCAGCTGGATGGTGTCAGACTCTCCTTCCTGGTCCTCATGACTTTGGCAGTGCCCGGCAGATGTCATTCTGCAAGCTGTGCCAGTGAGGAGGACGGTGTAGAACAGAGGAGTCATCCGTGACAGTCTGAAGGCTTCTGGAGGGTTGCCGATTGTCCGGGGGGGGGGGGGGGGGGGGGGGGGGATGCTGGAGTTTGGGTGGGCGGCCTAGGGCTGCACAAAAACTAAATACACCACTGGTCCCAGGAGGTCTCTCTGAGTCCCTACTAGGTGGGATATTAGAACAGTAGCATTTCATGGCTAAATGGTTAGCAGTCAAATCCCAACCATGGCACCACCTGCCTGGAGTTTGCCTCTGTATTTGTTCTGTTTACCATTATCACTGAATGTAAAAGAAAATCCCAAATTTTACATTGTCCCCAGAAAAGTAATAGCAGGGGAAATCTTCCAATGGGGACACTGGTTCTGGTGACCTGGGTGTCCCTAAGGCATTCCCTTAATTTGCAGAGATTTCCTTTCATTTTGTTTGGCTATGGGACAGGAAGTGATGGGAAATATCTGCAATGGGACACAGATGGCAAGAAAAATCTGATGGGTTATAACCGTACCTTGCTCTATCCAAAATTTAACAAAAAATTACTTTTAACTGAAAAACAAGTACAGTTTTTTTTTTTTTTAAATGGGCAAACCTATTCCCCTTCTTTCCTGTGTGGCTACCAATACAGGAAGTGAATGTCCCTGGAACAAACACATGACAGGGACAAGAAGAAGAGAGGAGGGTTTTCCTTAATCCCTGTGCCCAATTTTAGGAGATATTTGCTCTTCTTTTCTTAATTACCAACACGTACATTTGAAACTTTATTGGCTTGGGACCTAGGCTGCAGTGAACAGATAACAAGAAGTCCACTTTCAGTTCCACTGATGGGCCCCCAGACCAGCGGGGTCAGAGCAGCTACTCTGTCTTTATTGGTAATGGTACTATGAAGCTATTATTTCAGCATAACCCCATCAACTCCAGTTCCCAGAAGAGGTCAGCAATAAAAGCCTACATATTTTCCCAGTACATGGTTCTTTTCATTAAATGCGGCACAAATTCCCCACGTCACCATTAGATACCTACGCAGACTGCTCTGTGTAATAATACTGTATATTCTGTGTATATTACTATCAGTAGAACACTTTGCCCTACACCGTGTGTCTACTAGAGGTACAAAGTACACTTAACCTTTGGCTTGTATGTTTACTGAGTAGACTGAAGTTCAGAGTTATGGCTACTAAAGACGACTAAAGGCAAACTTTTTGAGAGAGTGGAGAGGGATTAGAACACAGTCAGGATTTTATTGCTGTTTGTGTCCCCATTAGGGAGATTCACGGTCTCTGTTTTTCCTGTTTTCACTTAAAGTGAAAGAAAATCCCACATTTTTGGTTGTCACCAGAGCAGGAATCAATAAATCTTCCAATGTGGACACTAGTTCTGGTGACCATAGTGACAACCAGGCATTCCCTCATTTTTCACTCACTTCCTGTTTTCCACAATGGTACATAAAAAAAAAAAAAAAAAAAAAAAACAATAAAAACTCCCTTACACTAGTCAAAAGAAAAAAGAAAGTTTTGCCTTTAGCTGTACTTTGAGCAGTCATGCTTCCTCATGGCCAACCACACACAATGCATCCAGCACAACCTCCAAGACTTGACCACAAAATACTGTGGAAAAGCATAGTAAAGATCATTATGAAGACACCTCTGTGTAGGCATAAGGACTACATCATGGAGACATTCACTGTATCTGCTGATAAAACCAATCTGTTACGATAACACTGGCTTTCAGGGTTTTAGGCCCAAAGGTCCAATGAAAAACGTGGTTGCGCCCGGGCCGTCATGGACACATCTCCTGAGGTTGCACCCAGGTCGTCATAGACACATTCCCTGAGGTGACACCCAGGCTGTCATGGACACACATTCTGAGGGTGAGCCTAGGCCGTCATGGACATACCTTCAAAGGTTGAGCCTAGGCCAACATGGACACATTTCAGCACCCAGGCTGTTATGGACACACCTCCTGAGGTTTCTCCCAGGCCGTCGTGGACACAGCTCCTGAGGTTGCGCCCAGGCCGTCGTGGGCACAGCTCCTGAGGTTGCGCCCAGGCCGTCGTGGGCACAGCTCCTGAGGTTGCGCCCAGGCCGTCGTGGGCACAGCTCCTGAGGTTGCGCCCAGGCCGTCGTGGGCACAGCTCCTGAGGGTGCGCCCAGGCCGTCGTGGGCACAGGCCCTGAGGGTGCGCCCAGGCCGTCGTAAGCACAGGCCCTGAGGGTGCGCCCAGGCCGTCGTGGGCACAGGCCCTGAGGGTGCGCCCAGGCCGTCGTGGGCACAGGCCCTGAGGGTGCGCCCAGGCCGTCGTGGGCACAGGCCCTGAGGGTGCGCCCAGGCCGTCGTGGGCACAGGCCCTGAGGGTGCGCCCAGGCCGTCGTGGACACAGGCCCTGAGGGTGCGCCCAGGCCGTCGTGGGGCACAGCCCCTGAGGGTGCGCCCAGGCCGCCGTGGACACAGCCCCTGAGGGTGCGCCCAGGCCGTCACGGACATAGCTCAAGAGGTTGAGGTTGCACCAGAGCCATCATGGACACAGCTTCTTAGATTGTTCCCAGGCCGCCATGGGCACAGCTCATGAGGTTGTGCCCAGGCTGCCATGGGCACAGCTCCTGAGGTTGTGCCCAGGCCGCCATGGGCACACCTTCACAGGTTCAGCCCAGGCCATTATTAACGCATCTCCCATGGTTGCATCATACGGTAACATACCAAATGACTGCAGGATTTAGAGTAGAACTAAAGTACTGAAAGCATGTGTCATGGACACACCTCCTGAGGTTATTCCCAGGCCGTCATGGACACTGCTCCTGAGGGTGCGCCCAGGCCGCCA